TTGTTTTTTTTTTTTTTTTTGAGTTGGAGTCTCACTCCGCAATCCAGGTTGGAGTGCAGTGGCATGCTCACGGCCACCTCAGCATCAACCTGCTGGGCTCTGGCAGTCCTTCCATCTCAGCCTTCCAAGTAGCTGGAACTACAGACGTGTGCTACTATGCCCAGCTAATTTTTGATGTATTGTAGAGATGAGGTCTCACCACGTTGCCTGGGCTGATCTTGAACCTGTGGGCTCAGACAGTTCACTTGTCTCAGCCTCCCAAAGTTCTGGGAATAGAGGCCTGGTCTTGTATTTTTAAAAATATCTTTATAGCCAGGCTTGGTAGCTCAGCCTATAATCCCGCGCCTTTGGGAGGCTGAAGCGAGTGGATTGCCTGAGCCTGCGGGTTTGAGACCCGCCTGGGTAGGCGAGACCTCATCTCTACAATAAAATAAAATAAAAAATCAGCTGGGCATGGTAGTGCATGCCTGTAATTCCAGGTACTTGGAAGGCTGAGGCAGAAGGATCGCCGGAGCCCAGCAGGTCAAGGCTGCGGTGGCCGGGCGCAGCCACTGTACTCTAGTCTGGGCAACAGAGTGAGACTCCAACTCAAAAAAAAAAAAAATCTTTATTCTGCTATCTTCCCTTGTTAATAGTTTTGCTGGATGTTAAGGTTTAGGTTGGAAATAATTTTCTGTTAGTATTTTGAAGGCATTGTCTGTTGTCTTTTAGCATATGTGCTGCTTTGTCTTAGAGACAAAATATCAGGAGTCAGAAGAGCCTCAGACTTTTTGTTTGTCAAAACTTTTTGGATCTTCTCTTTATCTTGCTGTTCTGATATTTTGCAATGATTTACTTGATGTATCTTCTGTTTCTCTTTGCTTCCCTCAGTGTTTACCTTTCTAGATACTCATTCTTCAATTCTGAGAAAGGTTCTAGAATTCTCTAATTTTTTTTTCTTTTTACTTCCTTGGTTTGATATTTCTCAAACTTTTTTTTTTTTTGAGTTGAAGTCTCACTCTGTCGCCCAGGCTTGAATGCAGTGGCACGCTTACGGCCACCCCAGCGTCGACCTGCTAGTCTCCAGCGATCCTTCCACCTCAGCCTTCCAAGTAGCCAGAACTACAGGCACACACTACCACACCTGGCTAATTTTTTATTTATTGCAGAGACAAGGTCTGGCCAAATTGCCCAGGCTGCTCTCTAACCTGTGACTCAGGGAATCCCCTCACCTTGGCCTCTCAAAGTGCTGGGATTAAAAGTTGAACCACCAAGCCTGGCCTTTCAAACCGTTTTTTAGATAGTTCTTAAACCCTCTTGAATTGGTGTTTTGGTTTTCAAGTCTTTCTTTCCTCTTTAATCTTTATTTTTTCATCCTCTGTTGTATTTGCTGGGAGACTTCATCAAATTTATTTTTCAACTATTTCTCTGAAATTTCAGATATAATTTGGTTCTCAAGAACTTTCTTGTCCTCTGATTGATTCTTTTTTTTATAGCTTCCTATTCTTGTTATAGACGCAATTTCTTCTTTTTATGTCTCTAAGAGCTTTTATAAAGTTTTGTTGTTTACTGTTTTACCTCTGTTTCTTCAAGATTTCTCCTTTTTCTTTTCTTTCACGAATACAAGATGTTAATGATAGGGGAGATTGGGGCATGATGAGTGTTCATATGGGAGCTCTGAACTTTCTGCTCAATTTTCTGTAAACCTAAAACTATTCAAAAAAATAAAGCGATAGCTTGGCTTGGTGGCTCAGCCTGTCATCCCAGGACTTTGGGAGGCCGAGGCGAGTGGATTGCCTAAGCATGTGGGTTCAAGACCAGCCCGGGCCATTTGGGGAGACCTCATCTCCACATTTAAAAAAAAAAAAGAGCCGGTGTGGTAGTGTGCTCCTGTAGTTCTGGCTACTTGGAAGGCTGAGGCAGAAGGATCGCCATAGACCTGCAGGTCGATGCTGGTGTGGCCATGAGTGGGTCACTGCATTCCAGCCTGGGCGACGGAGTAAGATTCCAACTAAAAAAGTATTTTTTTAAAAGTTGGATACGAGCCTTTCCTATAATGCAGCTTAAAAGTATATCCAGCATTGCCATTAAGTGAGGTGTTTTCAGTCTGTTGCTTCGCTCTTGACTCCTGCCCTGCCTTGTGTCCCTTCGTCTGGAGAGTCTGGCTTAGTTTCTCTAGAGAATGGAGCTCCCGCCCCTCCTTTGGCTGTGCTGACCACCTGCTCTTGAGGAGGCTCACTTGTTGCTCAGACCAGCTTTCAGTCAGCTCCCCTGTTTTTTGCCACTGCCTCCGTACTGCTTTCTGGGGCATCTGACACCTCAAGTCCTGAGCCTCCCGGAATGTTCACAAAAGCTTTCTCCCTGTGTCCAGGTGTACCTTCATATGCAGGCACTTGGATTTTAGCTCCCTCAGCTTTGCTAAGTCACTTATCACACATCATCAGCTCTCCATTTTATAGGAACTTACTGTGTTATCTCCTATCTTTGAAAGATTTGTATCTTTTTTATGTATTTAGTGTTATTTTTGGTAGGATTTTCTAAGTAGAGAAACATGCCTGTGTTCAGCTTGTCTTGTTTTAACCACTGTGCTTTCATTTTGATCACTAAGGAGTTGGCTTTATTTCATTTTGTTTTCTTCTGTTTTTAACATTAGGCTAATTTATTGATTATGTGTTTCCTTCTAAAGCTCTGGGCAGCCTGGGCATCGTGGCTCATGCCTGTGATCCCAGCAGTTTGGGAGGCAGAGGTGAGAGGATTGCCTGAGTCCAGGGGTTCGAGACCACCCTGGGAAACTTGGCGAGACCTTGTCTCTACAATAAATTTTTTAAAAAATTAGCTGAGTGTGGTGGTGCATGCTTGTGGTTCCAGCTACTTTGAAGACTGAGGTGGAAGGATCACCTGAACCCGTCAGGTTGAGGCTATGGTGACCATGAATGTGCCACTGCATTCCAGCCTGGGCAACAGAGTTAGATTCCTACTCCAAAAATAATAATAAATAAAGTTCTGGGCAACTCTGTTTGGGAGGATGCTTACTAAAAAGGATGTTTTTAGATGACAAATAATACTTAAAATGTCTGGGAAAAATTATCTACAGGATTAAAGTTGCAAACTAAAGTATGTATTTTCAAGTTGTTCACAGGGCTTAGAGCTCCTGCCAGAGGATTGTTACTCTTTGGTCCACCTGGGAATGGGAAGACAATGCTGGTAAGAATTCTTTTCACATTTAAGTATTCTATTGATTTATTAGAGAGAGTATTAAAAAAAAAAAGGAACTTGATCTTCTCTCTGACACTTGTGACTTTCTTTTTGTTATGATATACTTTTTTTTTGAGTTGAAGTCTCACCCTGTCGCCCAGGTTGGAGTACAGTGGCACACTCATGGCCACAAGCCTCGACCTACTGGGCTCAGGCAATCCTTCCGCCTCAACCTTCCAAGTAACTGGAACTACAGGCATGCTCTCCCACGCATGGCTAATTTTCTTGGTTTATTATAGAGACAAGGTCTCGCCAGGTTGCCCAGACTAGTGTTGAATCCCTGGGCTCAGGCAATCCTTTTGCCTTAGCCTCCCAAAGTGTTGGGATTACAGGCTGGAGCCACCACGCCTGGCCTGGTTGGTTAAATTTAACAGTGTAATTGTCATTATTTTTCTAAGTTAAATAATAAAATATTTACCTTAGAAGAGTTTATCTTACTATATTGGGTATCTTTCTTTTTTTTTTTGAGTTGGCGTCTCACTCTGTCACCCAGACTAGAGTGCAGTGGCCGCTCCCGGCCACTGCAGCCTCCACCTGCTGGGCTCCAGCAATCCTTCCGCCTCAGCCTTCCAGGTAGCTGGAACTACAAGCGCATGCTACCACGCCTGGCTAATTTTTTTGATTTTTATTGTAGAGATGAGGTCTCGCCCAGTTGCCCAGGCGGGTCTCAAACCCACAGACTCAGGCATTCCACTCACCTCGGCCTCCCAAAGCGCTGGGATTACAGGTTGAGCCACCAAGCCCGGCTATTGGGTATCTTTCTAACCCTTGCTTTTTGTTTTTATTTTTTTTGCTGTCATAACTGCTTTATTTAAACAATCAGTATGTTATAGACTTTTCTTTATTATGCTTTTGCCAAGTTTTTGGGTTTTTTTTTTGAGTTGGAGTCTCATTCTGTCGCCCAGACTGGAGTGCAGTGGCCGCTCCCGGCCACCGCAGCCTCCACCTGCTGGGCTCCGGTGATCCTTCCGCCTCAGCCTTCCGAGTAGCCAGAATTATAGGCAGGCGCTACCACGCCCAGCTGATTTTTTGATTTATTGTAGAGATGAGGTCTTGCTGCCCAGGCAGGTCTCGAACCCGCAGGCTCAGGCAGTCCACTCACGTCAGCCTCCCAAAGGTGCAGGATTACAGGCTGAGCCACTGAGCCTGGCTACTTTTGCCAAGTTTTTACCAGGATCTGGATACTTTTTTCCTCTGCATAGCTCTTCTAGACAGAAAAAAGCCAATAGGGAAAGAGTAATGTCTTCCTTGGCTGTGTATATTTTTTCTAAGCAGTTGTCTTTCCATGCTTATGAGGAGAATAGCTGTCTCTCTCTCTCTCTCTCTCTCTTTTTAACTTCTCTCTACCCATTCTCCCTGAGGAAAAGAAACAGCTCTCCCTAGAGCCTTTCCTTATCGTTGAGAAGGCGACACATTGCATATTTTGGGAACTATGTCACACCTCCTATTTTTAGGGAATCTTTTACAGTAACTTAAATTGATCAGATGTGGTATCTTTTTAAAGTGAGATGTTGAACTAATTTAATATTTGCTGTTGTGATTTTTAAAGGCTAAAGCGGTAGCTGCAGAATCTAATGCAACCTTCTTTAATATAAGTGCTGCAAGTTTAACTTCAAAATATGTGAGTACCCTTTTTCCAATATTGTCTTTTTCTAATATTTTAAGTTGGTGTCTAAATGTTCTAAGTATAAATGGTAATAATACTTCACAAAAATGTTTTTCTATGAGTTTTCTATCTGTTACTTATAAACGGTGAATATCAATTTTCAAAGTAGATAGTTACGTACATTTGTTAGGCTTTTTTAAAATTAGAATTGTTGTCAAATACTGTATTTGCTTACCGTGGTCACATAACAAAATACCATAAAGTAGGTGGCTTAAACATCAGAAATTTATTGTCTCATAGTTTCAGAGGTCAGAAGTCCAATATCATTCGAAGTTTGGCAGAATTAGTTCCTTCTGAGGACTGTGAGGGAGCCTGTGTTACATGCTTCTCTCATAGCTTCTGGCTGCCTGCTGGCAATCTTTGGCATTCTTTGGCTTGTAGATGTACTCTTCTCTCTCTGTTTTCACCTAGCATTCTCCTGGAATGCATGTTTCTCTCTGTGTCTAAATTTCTCCTTTGGGTTATGGCCCACCCTAACTTAACTTGATCATCCTCAGCTTAACTTCATCATTTGCAAAGACCCTATTTCCAACTGAGGATACATTTATAGGTACCAGGGATAGGACTGCATGTTTTTGGTGAATCTGATTCAAACCATAACAAATACTATCACTTTCCCAATACTGTTATACTTTTTCCTGACACAGGACTCCTCTTCATGGAGTTTCTTTTCTGAGTAACATGGTCTTCTCCTGGTTAATTTGTACTCATTCTTCAGTATCATTCAAAATGTTACAACCTTCCCTGACCCTCAAAATGAATCCCCCTTATTATTCTCTTAGCACCACTTAACTCTCATTTGTCATTCTTATTGAAGTTGTAATTCATATTCGTTGAAGCAATTATCTCAGTTTTATATGGTTTCACTGTCACCTTTACTAGAAGCCAGTCTCCATGAAGGCCGAGAATATTCATTGTCCTTTACTGCTCATATTCACGGTGCCTTGAACAGTATCTGGCAATGAATAGATACTGAATAAGTATTTGTGGAATAAGTAGATATTCATAATACATATAGATACTGTTCTTATACCTCTATTTTCTCGATGAGGGAATGCAGAAATTCAGTGATGTGCTCAGGGTTGCATAACCCAGAAGTGGGAAACTGGGTTTTGAGCCAATGAGTGTGGCTTGAGAACCCGAGCCCTTGTGTTAAAATTTTTACAGCAACCATTCTCTAGTATCTGTACTTATTTCAAGACTATTTTCTTTTATCTTCTTGAGTCCTGAAACAATATAAAATCTATGATCCTAGCCCACAAATCCTGTATTGCCTCTTGAATATCTTGAACCAAGTTTACTTTAGAAAATGTTAGACTGTTCAGTTTCTCATTTGGACAGTTTAGCCAATACATTTTTTTCTTATGTCTAACAGAAATCTGCTTTTTCTAATTTTTATATGCTGGATGTAACAAAAGATTCGTTTTATTAGACAGCTTTTCAAATGTATAGGAGCTTAATGTCATTATCTGCTATTTTCCCCCTCTGAATTAGTTATTATCTTAGTTATCTTCCTATGGTCTCATGCCAGTTTGTCCATATGCTTAGAGCATGATAAGAGCAGAATATTTTACCTCAGGTATGATCTCACTTTTTTTTGTTTGTTTGTTTGTTTTTTTTGAGTTGGAGTCTCACTCTGTCGCCCAGACTGGAATGCAGTGGCCACTCCCGGCCACCGCAGCCTCGACCTGCTGGGCTCCGGCGATCTTTCCACTTCAGCCTTCCAAGTAGTAGGAATTACAGGCACACGCTACCACGCCCGGCTGATTTTTTTTATTTATTGTAGAGATGAGGTCTCGCTGCCCAGGCGGGTCTCGAATCCATGGGCTCAGGCAATCCACTCACCTCAGCCTCCCAAAGGCGCGGGATTACAGGCTGAGCCACCGAGCCTGGCTGATCTCACTTTGAAGACTTAAAAAGAAAGCATTGTATAGTGTAATACATAGTTCAGTGTATTATCACCAAGTGAATATACTTTCATAATTACCACCCAGGTCAAGAAATACATTGTTGTCTGTACTCTTGAAATCCTTTCAAATTCTCCCCAACCTTTTTTTTTTTTTTTTTTTTTTTTTTTAGTTGCAATCTCACTCTGTTGCCCAGACCGGAATGGAGTGGCACAATCGTGGCTCACTGCAGCCTCGACCTCCTGGCCTCATGCAATCCTCCCACCTCAGCCTCCTGAGTATTTGGGACTATATGCATGCACCACCTCACCCAGCTAATTTTTAAATTTTTTATAAAGAACAGGTCTTGCTATGTTGCCCAGGCTGGTTTTGAATTCCTGAGCTCGCCACGGCCTCCCAAAGTCTTAGGATTACAGGCGGGAGCTACTACACCTGGCCCTCTCCCCAAAACCACTAGACTACTAACATAGGCAAAACCTGTCTTTGAACTTTATATAATATAATCATATAGGATTTTGTGTGTATGTCTTCTTTCATCAGCATTATATTTGTGAGATTTATTCAGATTGTTGCAAATAGTTGTAGTTGCATTTTTTTACCCAAATAGATTTAATTATTATGTTTTAGAACTGTTAATTAACCTGCTTATGATTCATTATTTTTTAAAAACTAATATTTATATAGTTCTTTGCAGTTTACAGTGTTTTTGCACAGTCTTCAAAATTTTTATAAAGTTTGGTCTTCAGTGTATCATTATGCTACTAGCGCAAAAGACTAAAAAAATAGCAGAGGAGTTGGTAACGTACGATCAAATCTTTCAGCCGGGCTCGGTGGCTCAGCCTGTAATCCCACACCTTTGGGAGGCTGAGGTGAGTGGATTGCCTGAGCCCGCGGGTTTGAGACCTGCCTGGGCAGCGAGACCTCATCTCTACAATAAATCAAAAAATCAGCCGGGCGTTGTAACACATGCCTGTAATTCCAGCTACTTGGAAGGCTGAGGTGGAAGAATCGCCAGAGCCCAGCAGGTCGAGGCTGCGGTGGCCGGGAGCGGCCACTGCACTCCAGTCTGGGCGACAGAGTGAGACTCCAACTCAAAAAAAAAAAAAAAAGATCAAATCTTTCGTAAATTTACTTAAATATTTTAATAAATCAGCCAGAGGCAGTGGCTCATGCCTATAATCCCAGCACTTTAGGAGGCTGAGGCAAGAAGATTGCCTGAGCCCATAGGTTCAAGACCAGTCTGGGCAACATGGTGAGACCTCTTCTCTACGATAAATCAAGAAATTAACTGGGCATAGTGGCACATGCCTGTAGTTCCAGCTACTTGAATGGCTGAGGCAGTAGATCACCTGCCTGAACTCAGCAGGTCGAGACTGCGGTGGCCAAGTGTGCCACTGCACTCCTGTCTGGTCAACAGAGTGAGACTCCAACTCAAAAAAACCTTTTTTTAAATAAAGCATCATACTCAAAATGCTCTCAATTTTATTAGGTAGTTAAAAGTTACACTGAAATGCCACCTCTTTTCCTGATTACATTTTACTTCCTACATAAGCTATTATAAGTAAAGTTATTATTAAAGCAGGTTTGGGCATCTTATGCACATAGCATAATGGAAAGCACTGTCTTGGAAGTTAGGAGAAGGGATTCCAACCCGATTTTTAAATCCTGAGCTGACCTTAGGAAAGTATCACTTCAGGCTTACTTCATCTATAAAATGTTCAGTCGGCCGGGCTCGGTGGCTCGGCCTGTAATCCCAGCTCTTTGGGAGGCTGAGGCAAGAGGATTGCCTGAGCCCGCGGGTTCGAGACCCGCCCAGGCAACTTGGCGAGACCTCTTCTCGACAATAAATCGCAAACTAGCCGGGCATGGTAGTGCACACCTGTAGTTCTGGCTACTTGGAAGGCTGAAGCAGAAGGATCACCGGAGCCCAGCAGGTCGAGGCTGCGGTGGCTGGGAGCAGCCACTGCACTCCAGTCTGGGCGACAGAGTGAGACTCCAACTCAAAAAAAAAAAAAATGTTCAGTTATAAGAGTTGATCTCTTGAGGTTTCTTTTAGCTCTGAGAATATTTGTTTTGATGATTCTGTATCTGGAGCACTTGTTTTTGGTTGCTTTTCGGTGAAATGTTCAGTAAAAAGCATAAATGCCACCTAGAGGACAGCAGAATTTTTGCAGTAGATGATCACAGACTTCATGACTCTGTTATTAGATACTTTGATGCATAAACTGGCCTGTATATGATATTGGTAGCTGGGATGTCCCACGCGGTGTTTATAGACCTCTTGGACTACATGGAAGCATTTTGATATATATTGACAGTGGTACTGTGAGAATGACTTTTCAAGGTAGACCAAGTTTTGTTTCAGAGACCACGTTCTAACTTCTCTGCTTCTTTAAATGCACATCCTGTAATCTACTCAAGGAATATGTCAGCATCTCTTTCTCTCCCCTGTTGTTCCTCTTCTCACTATGTATAGCTCTGACTCAAGTCTTAGGAATGCAGAGTGAAGCAAAACAAAGGTGTACTTTTTTATCAGGCTGTATGAAATCATGGTCTGTTTTGTAAAATTGCAAAGGACAGTTCAGTAACACCTTCCCCTTCCTCCAACCAAATCTCTGGTTGTTGTAAGGAAGGAATATTAAATTTCTAAGTTCTAGACTTTCACATGAAATTTGAAAAGACTGGAATAATGTTGCATTTTATGTGTGTAACATTATATGATGCCTTGTTTTAGGTGGGAGAAGGAGAGAAATTAGTGAGAGCTCTTTTTGCTGTGGCTCGAGAACTGCAACCTTCTATAATTTTTATAGGTAAGAACATGTTTTCCAACTAAGTAGAATATTTCTGAAGTTTCCCCCTCCAAATATGAGAGATATGTTAGGAAAGATTACTCAGAAGGAAAAAGTTTTAAAGAAGGGCAAAGTTAAAGACTATTTAATGAATGCAGTAGGACTCATTGTGTGAATAAGTGGTAAACTAGATTATCTCAGATGATCTCATAGCTTAGCCTTTAACTAAAGTCCTACCCTTGTGTTTCCTCTAGATGAAGTTGATAGCCTTTTGTGTGAAAGAAGAGAAGGGGAGCATGATGCTAGTAGACGCCTCAAAACTGAGTTTCTCATAGAATTTGATGGTGTAAGTGGTGTTTCTGTTTTTAATGTGGCAATATTTTAGTATGTATATTTTCCTTATATTAAGTGACTGAAGTTAGAAATTTATTTTATTTTTGTCATTACTTCATTTGAAAGTATCAAAAGAAAGCTTTTTTGGCTTGTAGGTACAGTCTGCTGGAGATGACAGAGTACTTGTGATGGGTGCAACTAACAGGCCACAAGAGCTTGACGAGGCTGTTCTCAGGTGAGGGGACATGTGAAAACATGTGTGTTGTTACAGATGTGTTGACTAATGTATTAATCTCACATATTTCTTCCCTTACTGTCAGTGTTAATACTAAGTTCATTATTTTCTTCCCTGTACTATCCTCTGGCCTCTTGTTACCAACTCAGTAAGGACTTTGAGGTCAGCAGCAGGATATTAGAACTAGTCTTCACTTTATGGTTTTAGGCAAATTGCCTGCTTCTTCTGGGTGCATTTAATTTTCTTTAAACTCCATAACTGGCTTTTACTCTCTTTTGTTGGGCTTCATGAGAAGCTGATCAAAGCCGAGTTCATGGGAAATGTGTCTTCTGTTCTTGTGTGTTTGAACAGATGTATTCCTTTCATGCTGTAGGTTTATTGTGTTTTTTCCACTCTTTTTTGGGCAGGTTTTTTTTTTCTTTTTAATGAGCCTCTTTTTGTCTTAGGAAATCCTTCCTACTTTTGACTCAGCATAAAATTCTTGGGAATCCTTTCACAAGGAATTTATAATATAGTTCCATTGTGTCTAGAATTGGTTATCATAGTGTTAAAGTCTGAATCTAGGCTGATATTTTCACATTTATAAATTAACTTGATTTTTTCTTTTTACTGGGTAGAATTTTCAACCATTGAAGTCTAATTTTTGTTGTAGTTTCTTTCCTTCTTTTTTTTGAGTCAGGTTCTCACTCTGTTGCCCAGAATAGAGTGCAGTAGTATGATCACAGCTCATTGCAGCCTCTACCTCCTGGGGTTAGACAGTCCTTCCACCTCAGCCTCCTGGGTAGCTGGGACTACAAGCATATGCCATCACACCCAGCTAATTTCTTGATTTTACTTTTTTGTAGAGATAAGGTCTAGCATTGTTGCCCAGGCTGGTCTTGAACTCCTGGGCTCTAGCAGTACTCTTGCCTCCACTTCCCAAAGTGCCAGATTACAGGCATAAACCATTGCACCTGGCCCGAAATCTAGTTATTTGAAAAAGATTTTGATCTGTGTTTACTTTTTTGGGATTTGACATTTCTTTAATTTGATAGTTTGGAACTTTGTTTTGGGAAATTTATTGTATTTTATTTATTTTATTTTTTTGAGTTGGAGTCTCACTCTGTCGCCCAGACTGGAGTACAGTGGCCACTCCCAGCCACTGCAGCCTTGACCTGCTGGGCTCCGGCGATCCTTCCGCCTCAGCCTTCCGAGTAGCCAGAATTACAGGCGCGTGCTACCACGCCTGGCTTATTTTTTGGTTTATTGTAGAGATGAGGTCTCGCCTGCCCAGGTGGGTCTCCAACCCACGGGCTCAGGCAATCTACTCACCTTAGTCCCCAAAGGCGCGGAATTACAGGCTGAGCCACCAAGGGGAAATTTATTTTAAATACCATCTTTAATTTTTTTTTTCGAATTCACTTTTCTATTTTTTTCTTTTCCATGTAAATAATATAATGTATTGCATCCTTTTGTCTACCGTATCTGTAATAGTCTTCCTAATTATTTTAAATGCTTAGATCTTTTTTGTTTTGTTCTGTTTCCCCAAGCCTGTTGCCTTTATTTCCTACTGGAATAGTATCTAATCTCCTTTCTGCTGTTTCTTTTGTAATCCTTGTTTTTGTGGCGGTGTTTCTTTCTCATTGCTTTCCTGACCTATGCCCTCCTATTTTCACATTCTGTTGTCTTTATTTCGTTGAGGCTTTGTATGTCATTTCCTTAAGCTCTTATATCTCACTGAGTTCTTATTTAATGGAAAACAATTTTTAAAATTTAATTACTTCATTTCATGGAAAGACATTGGTTGTAATTTGAATTTGATCTATGGCAAGTCTTCTTGCATGCGTCCTTTATCTGATCTGGTTTATGTTTATTGTGTTCTTTCCCCTCTTTTTTGGGCAGTTTTTTTTTTCTTTCTAATTAGCCTTTTTTTCTTATTCTTCTTCTTAGGGAATTCTTCCTAGTTTTGGAAGGAAATTATAGCGGAAGGGCTAGAAAAATAAGATACTGAGCAGGTTGGGTGTCTTGAGTAGTCTATGCATACACGGAAATAATGGCAGTCTCCTGACTCATAGGGAAGCCCTGCCAGATGATGAAGTGTGTGTGTATGTACATAAGAGATAGGATTGATTTATTCTTTGCAGAATACTGGTCACTGCAAGACAGCTTGTCATCCTGCCAGACTGATAGGTACTTTCTTACAATGTGTTTGGGTTTCTTTGTTCAGTCTTGCCTGCCTTGCCCTTCCCATGCTAGCATTAGGGTCTGTATGGTCTGCATAGCCAAACTTCACGTGCTTGCTTTGAACATGGAGAGGTTGGTTTTGTCAGCCTTCAGAGTGTGTAGTCTCTTTTTTTAGGGAAAACACTCTGTTCTGGCAGCCGTGGCCATGATCTGCAGTGGCAGATCCTGTGTAGCTTCCTTTGTCAGTGCCCTAGGCAGTTCTCCTTCATATATTTTAGATTCCTAAATATGCTGCCTAGCTTGTAGATGATGCAGTTTGTATTTCTGTTTCTGTTATCCTTGCTGATTTCAGATTCATGAAGATAACAGAGGTCTCTTAATTCTACTTCTTATATTAGATATTTTGTTTGTTTAAAAGCATTATTGCTATTACAAACATACATGAATGTAAATTATTAATTCTGACAGTATTGACCTAAGGATTTTTAAACATTAACAGAGTTTTAAAGTAGTAACAGCAAATATCTTTTTACATTGATAACTACTAAAATACTTGTATGTTTCTTGCGTGTTATACTTTATATCCTTTTTTCTGTCATTTGTCGCTTGAGCTGTTATTTTTTCAGTTCAAAATTATATTTTTAAAATTGCTGGTATCTTTGTGTTTTTTTCCTTAGGCGTTTTATCAAACGGGTATATGTGTCCTTACCAAATGAGGAGGTATGTATCTATGTTTAAATTTTTTGGTTTTTAAAATTTAAAAATTTTTTTTATTTAAAAATTTTTTTTGATCAGAGTCTTACCCTGTCACCCAGGCTGGAATGCAGTAGCATGCTTACAGCCACCGCAGCCTCAACCTGCTGGGCTCAGGCAGTCCTTCCACTTCAGCTTTCCAGGTAGCTGGAACTACAGACACACGCCACCATGTCTGGCTAAATTTTTTTTTAATTGTAGAGACAAGATCTCACCATGTTGCCCAGGGTAGTCTCAAACATGTGGGCTCAGGCAGTCCTTTTGCATCGGTCTCCCAAAGTGCTGGGATTACAGACATGAGCCCCTGTGCCTGGCAATTGTTTTTATTTTTAAGACAGAAATAAAAACCACAATCTTGACAGTAGTAAGTCTTGCAATCCATGGTATAGCCACTTTGGAAAACAGTTTGGTGACTTCTTAAAAAGATAAATAGCAATCTTGCCATCAGACCCAGCAATCCCACTCCTAAGAGTATGCCCAAGAGAAATAAGAACATATGTACACAAAAAGATGTGTACAAGAATTTTTATAGCAGCAATATTTAGTAATAGCCAGAACCAGAAGAGAATCTAAAATGTTCATCCATTGCTGAATGGATGAATAAATGTTGTGTATTCATTTAATCAATACTGTTTAGTATTAAAAGCTTCATACTCAGTTCATACATTGAATTCTACGACTGAAACTCCAAAACATTATAACTAAAAGCCAGTGATACATGTTATGTGTCATTTGATTTCATTTATGCAAAATGTCCAGAAAAGACAAATTTCTAGAGACATAAAGGAGACCAGAGGTTTGCTAGGGTGATGGCTAGGAGTAGGGATTAAGTGTAAACCGGCATGTATAAACTTTCTGGGATGATAGAAATTTCCTAAAACTGGATTATGGTGATGGTTGTACAACTCTGTAAGTGTATTAAAAGCCATTGAATTGTATACTTACAGTTGGTAAAATTCATAATGTATGAATTCATAACTCTGTAAAACTGTTTTTTTAAAAATTGTGGTTGTTTATATCCTTATTGTGTGGGAAGAAGAAAAAACAACTGTGGTTGTCTAGCCCAGGTCCTTTGCATCCTTGATAGTGATAGCAGCCACTCCATAGTGCTTGACTGGGATTATCCTCTTTAATGCTCTCAGGAACTCTAAAAATTGGTCATTTTAACTTCACTTACAGACAAAAATCAGGCTTCAAGGTAATGACCTGGCTTTGAACCTGATTCCTGGATATTTTATTAAGTTAATTCTCAGCGGGCACAGTGGCTCATGCCTTCAACCCCAGTGTTTTCAGAGGCAGAGGCAAGAGGATTGCCTGAGAGCCCAGGGGTGTGACACCAGCCTGGGCAACTTGGCGAGACCTGGTCTCCACAATAAATCAAAAACTTAGCTGGACATGGTGGTACATGCCTGTAGTTCCAGCTACTTGGAAGGGTGAGGCAGAAAGATCAACTGAGCCCAGCACGTCAAGGCTGCAGTGGCCTTGTGTGTGCCACTGCACTCCAGTCTGGGCAGTAGAATGAGACTTCTACTCGAAAAGAAAAAAAAGAAAAGAAAAGTTAGTTCTCATATTATTGAAAATTATGCTGGGAGCAGTGGCGTGATCACTCCTGTAATCCCAACACTTTGAGAGGCTGAGGTAGAAGGATTACTTGAGCCTAGGAATTTGAGACCAGCCTGGACTACATAGTGAGACCTCATCTCTACAAAAAAATCTAAAAATTAATTGGACATGGTGGTATACACCTGTAGTTCCAACTACGGAGGTTGAGGCACAAGGATCTCCTGAACCCAGGAGGTCAAGGCTGCAGTGAGCCGTAATTGTGCCACTGCACTCCAGCCTGGGTGACAGAGCAAGATCCTGACTCAAAAAGAAAAAAAAGGAATAATTCTGGTAATTATGATATCAAATTGGACTGTACTGATAATTTTTTAATATTTATTTCTTTCAGACAAGACTACTTTTACTGAAAAATCTGTTATGTAAACAAGGAAGCCCATTGACCCAAAAAGAACTAGCACAACTTGCTAGGTGAGTAATAATTTGCTTTACCTTACAGCTGTTCTTTCTTTCTTGTAAAGACTTCTTTTTTGTGTGCTATTTAAAGTAAGCTTAAATGTGAAATGAGTAATTCATTTATTAGAAAATGTTTGTCTCATCCTCTACCTCCTTTACCTCTTATTCCTATATATGATTTCTAAATTTCAGTTTCTATGCCCTCTATAAGACGTGGCCTAAATATCTAATGACAATAGTATATTCTTTTTATGAATTTATTAAAACTTACAGGTCATATTAAAGTAATTTAAAAATTTAAAACAGCTCATATCTGTGCACACCAACACAGATATTCTTTTTTTTTTTAAGTTGGAGTCTTACTCTGTCACCCAGACTGAAGTGCAATGGCACACTCCTGGCCACCGCAGCCTCAACCTGCTGGGCTCTGGCGATCCTTCCATCTCAGCCTTCCAAGTAGCCAGAACTATAGGCATGCGCTACCACTCATGGCTAGTTTTTGATTTATTGTAGAGACGAGGTCTCGCCAAGTTGCCCGGGTGGGTTCAGGCAATCCACTCACCTTGGCCTCCCAGAGTGCTGGGATTACAGGCTGAGCCACCGAGCCTGGCCTACACAGATATTCTTATACAAAACTTGTTCTTTTGCATTATACAGAATTATTTTTTACTTTACACCTTTAAACTTTATAAACAGTGTGCTTAAGTAAAAGCTGAATTTAGGAGATGCACTCATGAATTTTAATTCCTGAAGAATGTCATAAAGTAATATAGAATATTCAACAAGTTGGTGAGTAGCATGTACTTTTATTAAGAACCTTGAGTTCCCAGATATCTATGAAAAAGGAATAAATGAAATACAAAGGTCTTTGTTGTTATTTCCATAAAGAATTCTGCTAATAATGTTTGATCTGTGTGGTTGTTTAACATCGTATATGATAAGTAAATACTTCTCCCTGTTTTAGTTCCCTCTTCCCTCCTGTCCCCTACCCTAATTCTTCATTCCCTTTGGTAATCTCTTGGGTGCTCAGGACTCTCCACTGTGGCATCCCATTCAAGTGTGCCTCCTTTTGCCAATATCTTTTACTCCAGACCCTTCTTTCATCCTGTCTCTTCCACATGTTAAGAAATCTACCTAGTTTGGTCGTTATTCCATCCAAGAGAATGCTCCATGCCATGATAAATACTGATTAACTTATAGAGAAGTAATGATGTTTCTGTGTCTGTTGGCTACCAATGCCTTGTAGAGATTACCTTTCCACATAGCATGTCTACAATTAAGTGATGCCACTGGAGGTAGTATGCTTTAATCTAAAGGATTTAAGTGATGCCACTGGAGGTAGTATGCTTTAATCTAAAGTAGTATGCTTTAATCTAAAGGAATAGTTCTTTTTTTAAATGTGAAACCATTTTTAATGTTCAGTGTTGACACTTGGTAAGGAATAGTTCTAATGGTTAAATTTCAGGCATTGTAAGGAGCCTGAATGTTTTTTGGTTTTTTTGTTTGTTTTGTTCCCAGATAGTGGGCCTTTCTGTCCCCTTAATATCAAAGCACGTGACTGTTGGCTTGCTGACAAACTAGTTTTTAAACTCTTATTACGTGGAGATTTTATTTTGTCTTTTTTTTTAGTTATTTATTTAGTTAGAGACCATCACTCTGTAACCCAGGCTGGAGTGCACTGACAACGATCATAGCTTACTGCAGCCTCAACTTCATGGGCTCAGGCTATCCTCCCACCTTAGCTTCCCTAGCAGCTGGGACTACAGGCATCTGCCACCATGTCCATTTAATATCTTGTAGAGACAAGGTCTCACAATGTTGTCTAGGCTGCTCTTGAACTCCTGGCCTCAAGTGATCCTCTAGCCTTGGTCTCCCAAAGTGCTGGGATTACAGGTGTGGGCAACTGTGCCCAGCTCATGGAAATTTAAAATCTGCAGAGATGAAAATAACTTGCTGTTTCTTCCTTACTCTTCCCAGAATGACTGATGGATACTCAGGAAGTGATCTAACGGCTTTGGCAAAAGATGCGGCACTGGGTCCTATTCGAGGTAGGTAATAAGAGCTTGAAACTTTTAGGACCATTTTAGAAGTTTAAGAAGTCCCTACCAACAGATCTTGTTTATTATCAGTGTGAAAGCAGTGAGGCTGTATCAGTGGAAAACTTGGTACAAAGTTGTTTCTAGACTTTAAGGGTCATCAAACTTTTTTGTAAAGGACGTGATAGTAAATATTTAAGGCTTTGTGGACCACATATATCTCTGTTGCATAGTCATCATCATTTTTTTAAACAATCCTTTGAAAAAAGTAAACCCAGTGTTAGCTCACAGGTTATACAAAAAATAGTCCACGGGGAAAAAAAAAGTTCAGGAGCCAGTGGACCATGACCCTTGTTTACTATTTTTTTTTTTTTTTTTTTTTGAGTTAAAGTCTCACTCTCTTGCCCAGACTGGAGTGCAGTGGCCATTCCCGGCCATCGCAGCCTCAACCTGCTGGGCTCTGGCGATCCTTCTGCCTCAGCCTTCCAAGGAGCTGGAACTACAGGCTTTTGCTACCACGCCCAGCTTATTTTTGATTTATTGTAGAGATACCGTCTCTCGCCAAGTTGCCCAGGTGGGTCTTGAACCTACAGGCTCAGGCAATCCACTCACCTCCGCCTACCAAAGCACAGGATTACAGGCTGAGCCACCGAGCCCAGCCTGTTTACTTTTTGATAGTAGGTAAGCAGCAGAAAACTCAAAAGGAAACGTTTAAAAGTAAGCAGAAAAGAATAATAAAATGAAAATATTCTTATCTGTTTTCTGCTTTTTTTTTTCATTTCTTTTTTTCTTTTTTTGAGGTGGCATCTCACTCTGTCAATATTCTGATATCATTTGAAATTAATATCTAAGGGAACTTATATAAGAGAAGTTGTGGCTAGGCATGGTGGCTCACACCTGTAATTTCAGCACTTTGGGAAGCTGAGGCGGGAGGATCTCTTGAGCCCAGGAGTTTGAGACCAGCTTTGGCAATACAGCAAGACTCTGTCTCTATACTCTACAAAAATTTTTTTTAAAAAACAGGGAAGGTAACACATGTCTGTAGTCTCAGCTACTCAGGAGGCTGAGGCAGGAGAATCACTTGAGCCCAGGAGTTTGAGGCTGCAGTGAACCATGATTGTGCCACTGCATTCCAGCCTGGATGACAGAGGTAGACCCTGTCTCTAAAGAAACAAAAGAGACGTTTTTATTTATTATATGTTATTTTTGAGGAATTGCGGCAAAATATTTATTGCTGTGTTTTGATGCAAGTTAATTTGTTGATTCTGAAATATCACAACTGATTTTTTTTTTTTAAGTTGGAGTCACCCAGGCTTTGGACTCCTGGGCTCAATCCTTCCGTCTCAGTCTTCCAAGTAACTGGGAGTACAGGCACATGCCACCACACCCAGCAAATTTTTTTATTTTTTGTAGAGACATCTTACTGTGTTGTCCAGGTTGATCTCAAACTCCTGGATTCAAGCAGTCCTCCTACCTTGGCCTCCTCCCAAAGTGCTGGGATAACAGGTGTGAGCAACCACGCCTGACCATAACTGAGTGTTTTTAGGTCAGGTGAGGTTAAACTCACTGTGATATCACTTCAGCGTAGATGTTTTCAGCTTCTTTTTCACAGCCAGAACAGGCAGTGGATGGGTGATGCTCTCGGGTCTGCACTCACAGTACTGGCTGTGATGATAAAATAGAACATGCATCTCCAGAGCAGTAGTTGTAGCTCCATTTTTCTTTCTTATCACTGGAGAAAGTACAAATGAATGCAGTTGTGTGAGAAAGATGTTATCAGCGTTTCTGCTGTAATTTGTGTTAAAAAACCTACATTGGCCTGGCAGGGTGGCTCACGCCTATAATCCTAGCACTTACAAAGGCTGAGGCAGTAGGATTGCCTGAGGCCAGGAGCTCAAAAGCAGCCTGGGAAAGTAGTGAGACCTTGTCTCTACCAAAAAAAAAAAAAAAAAAAATTCATCCAGGTGTGGTGGTATGCACCTGTAGTCTCAGCTAGTCAGGACAGGAGGCAGAAGGATTGCTTGAGCCCAGGGAGCGGAGGCAGCAGTGAGCCAAGATCGTGTGACTGCACTCCAGCTAGAGTTACAAAGCCAGACCCTGTCTCTACAAAACAAACAAACAAAAAAGCTACATTATACAAAAAGTTTTTGCTTTATTTGTTAAAAATATTGGTTAGCACATTTCCAGTATGAAATAGAGTACTGATTAAGACCTTCTACTTTGGAAAATAATAAATGTAATCTTGGGAATATATTTTGAAACTCTAGGTAAACAAGCTTTTTTGCTACCAAAGGCATGAAATCTTGTTCAGGTAGTAGACTGAGGAACAGTAGCTAACTCATAAATCATTTGTAATTTTTAGAACATTTTAGCTATTATTCTGCAACAGAAAACATTTTCAGGTTAAAAAAAGACATTTGCATTCAATAAAGCAGGGTTCCCCAACCCATGGGCTGCAGTACCTGTTTGTGGCCTGTTAGGAACCAGGCCTCACAGTAGGAGGTAAATGGCGGGCAAACAGAGTTCCACCTTCTGTCAGATCAGCAGAGGCATTCTTTTTTCATAGGAGCATAAACCCTATTGTGACTGCACATGCAAGGGATCTGGGTTATGAGCTGCTTATGAGAGTCTAATGCCTGAGGCATTCTAATCTTATGAGAATCTAATGATCTGAGATGGCGCTGAGGCGATGATACTAGTACTGGGGAGTGGCTGCAAATACAGATTAACAATATCAGTAAGGTTTGACTGTACATCCTCCCCACTGCCCTGTCCATGGAGAAAAATTATCTTCCCTGAAACCAGTCCCTGATGCCAAAAATGCTGGGGACCACTGCATTAAAGTTCAGAACTTAAAAATCTTCTAGAGAGCGGTCCAGTCATGTCTCACTGCAGCTTCAAACTCCTGGGCTTAAGGAATCCTTCCACCTTAGCCTCCCAAGTAGCTGGGACTACAAGCATGCATCACCATGCCTGACTAAATAAAAAAAATTTTTTTGTGGAGACAAGATCTTACTATGTTGCCTAAGCTGGTCTCAGACTTGGGGGCTCAAGTATGAACAACTTGTGATCCTCCTGTCTTGGCCTCCCAAAGTGCTGGGACTACAGGTTGAGCCACTGCTCGCAGCCACAAGTTGCATTGTTTTAAGTTTACTTTCAGATTTGTAGAGAACACCTCCCAATTACTCTTAAGAAGGAATATTGAGCCGGGCTCAGTGGCTCAGCCTGTAATCCCACGCCTTTGGGAGGCTGAGGTGAGTGGATTGCCTGACCCTGCGGGTTCGAGACCCGCCCGGGCAACTTGGCGAGACCTCATCTCTACAATAAATCAAAAAATGAGCCGGGCATGGTAGCGTGTGCCTGTGGTTCCAGCTACTTGGAAGGCTGAGGCGGAAGGATCGCCGGAGCCCAGTAGGTGGAGGCTGTGGTGGCCGGGAGCAGCCATTGCACTCCAGTCTGGGTGACAGAGTAAGTCTCCAGCTCCAAAAACAAAGAATATTATTTTCTAAGCATTTATAAATTGTATATGTTTTAAATGTTAATGAATGTCTTTTAACATAATGATTTATATTGAGCAGATACTTTTAGATTATTATACTTAGTTTTTGCCCGTTAACAATTTCTCCTTCAAAATCTTTTTTTTTTTTAAGTGTCCGACTTTTATATTTTACAGAATTGAAACCAGAACAGGTGAAGAATATGTCTGCCAGTGAGGTATAGTATTTTATAATTTGCTTTGTCTTGGTTCTCTATATTGTAAGGCATATTTTGGTCTGGAATTTTGTAGTTTATTTGATTAGAAACTAGAAGATACTAACTTTGCTTCAATTCAAACTATGGAAGCCTATGAAGTTAGTCTCAATTAGTTAAGTTTTTCTTTGGTAATGGACAAAAAAATACACATAGTCATTAAATCATTTTCTGTCAATTCATATTATATCAGTCCTAAACAGAAGAAAATTATAACAAACTTGAGGATTTTGTACATTACAAAAATAACCTATGACTATAGGTTAATCCTTTAGCGTTCTATTTTGTTAATTTTTCCACAATCTATATTTTTTTAATCTTTTTAAAAGCATTGTAGTTACCATTGTAACATTATTTCTTTATTTTGTGTTGGAGTCTTACTCTGTCGCCCAGACTGGAGGGCAGTGGCACACTCCTGGCCACCGCAGCCTTGATCTGCTGGGTTCTGGCGATCCTTCTGGCCCAGCCTTCTAAATAGCCAGAACTACAGATTCATGCTACCACGCTGCCCCATTAATTTTCTATTTATTGTAGAGACGAGGTCTCACCAAGTTGCTGGGGGCAGTCTGGAACCCGTGGGCTCAGGCAGTCCTCTCGCCTCGGCTTCCCATAGTGCTGGGATGACCAGCTGAGCCACCGAGCCTGGCCTATTATATTTTCATAATATGGAAGATCCCTTATGAGATGCGGAAACATTTCTTTTGAAAAAAGTTGCATGCAAGATGTGAAAGCGGCTATGCAGAATGATCATAGCTGTGCAAGCAAAGTTTTGAAATTAGGCTTGTGTTCCAGTCTCCTTATTTGTGGGTTTTGCATTCATGGATTCAGCCTACTGTAGATCAAGTATATTGGAGATTGAAAAAAACTATCTTAATGAACACATACAGACTTTCCTCTTGTCATTATTCGCTAAGTAATATAACAACAATTATGTAGCATTTACATTGCATTAGGCATTTTGAGTAATCTAGAGATGATTTAAGTATAAGGTTATATGTAAATAATATGCCCTTTTATGTAAGGGATTTCAAGTATCTGCAGATTTTGGTATCTGTGAGGAGTCCTGGAACCAGATCCCCAGGGATACTAACAGATAACTGTTTATTTGTAACTAATCTGTCATATATTTTTTTTATTGCCCAAGTTTTGATGCCTGTTGAGGGGATAGTGAACTATTAACATAGATAATAAGTGTATTTAAGCATATTTTGGCAGTCTTTTTTTCTTCAGGCTTTTAATCTCTTGTTCAAATGAGTAGTACTACTTGAATTTTTTAATCCCACACCTAAAAATATAACTGTATCCATTATTTTAAAAAGTCATAATAATATTATTTTTAATTAAAAGTTTAGATAGCAAAACTAAAAATTAAAGCTCAGTAAAACTGTTTATTACAAGAAATCTTACTTGTAACATTACTACTTTAAAATTAAATAATATTACTTGTACCTTTTGTGACCATCTGTTGATTTATATATACTCAGGTTGCATTGTTAAAATTTGTGGTTCTAGGCCAGGTGTGGTGGCTCATGCCTATAATTCTAGCACTTTGGGAGGCGAAGGCAAGAGGATTTACCTGAGCCCAGGGGTTTGAGACCAGCCTGAGAAATTTGGCGAGATCTCGTCTCTACAGTAAATCCAAAAAATTAGCTGGGCATGGTGGCATGCATCTGTAATTCTAGCTACTTGGAAGGCTGAGATGGAAGGATCACCTGGGCCCAGGAGGTTGCGGCTGCGGTGGCCATGAGCATGCCACTGCGCTCCAGCCTCAGCTGGAACAGAGTGAGACTCCAACTAAAAAAAAAATATTGTGGTTCTTTTTTTTAAATAATTTGTGGATTTTGTTTGTTTGTTTGCTGGTCTTGAACCCCTGCACTCCGTCAATCCTCTCGCCTCCTCCTCCCCAAGTGGTGGGATTACAGGTGTGAGCCACTGTGCCTGGCTTTAACTTGTGATTCTACCACTTACTTTCAGTTTATTTTTATTTTTATTTTTTTTGAGTTGGAGTCTCACTCTGTCGCCCAGACTGGAGTGCAGTGGCCGCTGCCGGCCATCGCAGCCTCGACCTGCTGGGCTCCGGCAATCCTTCCGCCTCAGCCTTCTGAGTAGCCGGAATTACAGGCGTGCGCTACCACGCCCGGCTGATTTTTTGATTTATTGTAGAGATGAGGTCTTGCTGCCCAGGCGGGTCTCAAACCCGCGGGCTCAGGCAATCTACTCACTTGAGCCTCCCAAAGGCGCGGGATTACAGGCTGAGCCACCGTGTCTGGCTCAGTTTATTTTTAATCCTAGTGGTTTTGATATTAATAATTTGATAGTGACTTTTAGTTGTTAGTCTTTACTTATGAATTAATATTTATAGAGCACTTAAAATAGTCTGGCACACAGTAACCGCTATGTAAGTGTCCATTACATAATTTTAAAATAGGCTGGTCTCGGTGGCTAAGCCTGTAACCCCAGCACTTTGGGAGGCTGAGGTGAGAGGATTGCCTGAGCCCACGGGTTCGAGACCCACCTGGGCAACTTGGCGAGACCTCATCTCTACAATAAATCAAAAATAAGCCAGGCGTGGTAGCACGCGCCTATAGTTCCGGCTACTTGGAAGGCTAGGGTAGAAGGATCACTGGAATGCAGCAGGTCAGCGCTGGTGTGGTCGTGAGTGTGCCACTGCACCCCAGCCTGGGTGATGGAGTAAGATGCCAACTCAAAAAATAAATAAATAAATAAATTTTAAAAATACATAAAACTCAATAGTGGCATTTTATTATAGGGATTAAGGAAATCCATTCTGTCATTCCCACTTATAGGATGAGAGGTAAACACATGTAGTTTGGTCTCTAAAATTGTATATACTCATTATTTGGTATGCCTTTAATAACTAAGTGTGTTGTCAGGTACCAGTGTATATACAAATTTACATAAGAATAACCCAGTTTGCCTTAATAGTAGAAATTTAAATAATTGGACTGGAATTCTGTGTTTTATGGGACAGTACTAAAATTATTGATTATAAATTGGGGTACCCATACAGTTTGGATCTGATTTAACTTTAACTTTATTAATTCCTTTATTATTTTGTTTTGATAAGACATCTTTACATTTATTTTCTTTCTTATTTGAGCTAGCTACTGGTTGCTTTTTGCTGTTGTATATACATTAGTCTGTTACTAACTTTAAAATGTCATATACAAATTTCATATATAAACATATAGCAAACTATACATTTATTTATTTTTTATTTTTTTATTTTTTGAGTTGGAGTCTCACTCTGTCGCCCAGACTGGAGTGCAGTGG